TCACAGAATCATGCAACATAAGGGCTCTGCACGCCATACTCAAGTGCAGCTGACCCTGAACAACAGGCTTGAACTGCACAGGCCCACATATACAAGGATTTTTTCCCCCATAAATACAGTACTGTGTTTCTCTTCCTTATGATTTTCTTAACATTTCCTTTTCTCTCATTTATTGTAAGAAGACAGCATATAATACATATAACATACAAAATATGTTAATCGACTATGTTATATTGGTAAGGCTTCTGGTCAACACTAGAATATTAGTTAAGTTCTGGGGGAGTCAAAAGTTATACACAAATTTTCATTGCATGGTAGTTGGGGAGTGAAGCCGAACCCCAGCACAGTTCAAGGGTCAACTGTATTTATTAATCACCAAAAACTCACGTTATTCTTTGGATTAAATGTTATCAGTAATTGACAAAGAAGTAAACACAGCAAAGACTTACCTAAATTCTTTAAATTCTGCAAAGAAACTCTGTCCTCTTCCTCATCACTATTGAGAAAATCAGCTATAGAGTCATCATCATCTGAGGAATACAGAACACAATCAACTAATTAGGACTAGAAACAAAACCTAGATGCCAGATTTTAAAAACTACTGCAATAGATTAAAAATGTGCACACAAGTGACAATAGCAGGACAAAGTAGGTATAGACAAAATAAAAATGACTTTTCTGGAACTTATAACTGTACCAACATTCCTCTTTTTGGAAAGGGAATGAAAGCAAAAGCAAAGAATTGGTGACTTTAACAAGCACACCTTAGTATTCACATACTTGTTTATTATATGTGTCTCTGTGGTCTTCTGGACAGGAGCCTGATTTTCCAATTCCTATCACCCCCGCTCCCCTCACTATGGCTCCAGCCCTGTCAGGACCCAAAAAACTAGGTGTTCTATAAAAACCTGCTAACACAGGGGCACCTGGGTGGCTCAGTCGGTTAAGCGGCCGACTTCGGCTCAGGTCATGATCTCTCAGTCTGTGAGTTTGAGCCCCGTGTCGGGCTTTGTGCTGACAGCTCAGAGCCTGGAGCCTGTTTCAGATTCTGTGTCTCCCTCTCTCTGCCCCTCCCCTGTTCATGCTCTGTCTCTCCCTGTCTCAAAAATAAATAAAAAACGTTAAAAAAAATTTTTTTTAAAACCTGCTAACACGAATGCCCTGTGCTTTTAGCATGGCCAGAAATTTCTGGCACTGCCTGAACCCAACAAGGAAGTTTCTCAAAAGGCAGAAATAGGCTATCCCCATGCTGTGAATGTTCAGGCAGCAGGAGGGGCTGCTTTCAGAGACTGGCATGGTACATGAAACCCAGGAGATACTGAAGTGTGGATAAATGGATGAGACAGCCCATCCCACAATAAATCCATAGAGCCCCAGCAGCAGGAAGGTGACCTAGGCCAAAGGCAGTCGCCCACCCAAGCCTAGCTCAGGTGAACTGACAGCTCCAGCCAGGCCCATGGAGGGAAACCTGAAGCCATGACTGGAAAAGGATCCTACCAGCAGGGTCCCCCGCTCATCCCCAAACCACAGCTACAGGCTTTATCCCCTCTGCCTCTGTCCTCCTTGTTTCTTGCCCTTAACAATACCTTCAGGCTGCTCTATAATACATAACAGGTGCCCCACTCCTGGTGCTCCAGGCTAAGGAAGGTGCTGCTCCTTAATGAAGCCATCGTTCCTGACTCCCTGCCCCAACCCACATCTCTTTCCTTTCAGCTTCTTTTATTTGAAACCTTTTCCTAGGGTGGCTGGTTTGAAATCAACCAACCCACCTTTGTCTTCTGCAGGCTTTATAGTTTTTGCAGTAACAGCTGATCTTTTTCTCTCAATAGGACGAGTTTCAGGGTTGCACTCCTCTGAAAGAGACACAAATCAGGCACACATCACTTCTACTTTAGCAACAAGGCTGCACCTTTCCGCCAAGCCAGCATCTAGGTGGGAAACTATGTTCAGGGTAAGGGATGTGGGTAGGGATGATGGATGCAAAGGAAATGAGGGATCAAATCACAGGGCAGTATCCAGAAAACAAGCAACCCTGGGCTTGGCAGAGGGTGGAGGAAACAGGCCTTGTGTATCCTGAGGGTCTGTCCCCATCCAACTTACTCTGCAGAACTTCACAGGGCTTTCACCAAGATCAAGTGGCACACTGACTTCAATTACCAAACTATTTTCTCAGCAGTTTCAGACACTAAATTTGCATGTGCCACGTGCCAATTACACAGATAAAGTCATCAGGCCCCCATCAAGGGGCTGAGTCTTAGAGATGGCAGTTGGAGAGATGGAGAAAAGTCTGATTTACATCACCTGAGAGGGCCGGGAGACAAAGAGGAGGCACTTTCAGGTGCAAAGAGCATTCCTGGCAGAGGGAAAGGTCTATGGCTGGACCAGACCCCTGAAAGAACAGGGTCAGGAGCAACCACATGGTGATGAGCAACTACCAGTTGATTGACAGGGCAGGCCTGGCAGGAGGCTGGGGCCCACACAAGTGGAGGAAGAGCAAAAGAATACCACAAAGGGAGGTTGGCCTTTCTTCCCAAGACCAGTGTCTCTCATCAAGGGCACTGTGGTGTTCAAGACCCAAAGGTCTTTAATGGTGTGAGTCTCACACACCACAGGCTGTTTATCTGAGTCAATACCAATTGCCAGAATTGCCCCCCAACCCTCCTCAGCTACTGTAAAACAGAAACAGGGTAAC